CACCACTCCAGCAACCCTCAGTTTGTTTCCTGAGGTTAAAAATTCCTCATATCAGCAAGGTCATATGATACATGTCTTTCTCTGATAAGAATCTCCCTACTCTTTGGTTAATCATCTCTCTCATCCTCCTTCCCCCACCCTGAACAACCACTAATCTATTTTCTGTCTCTATGGGTTTGTTTATTCTCAACTTTCATGTGAATTGAATCATAATAGCATACAGTCTTTTGTGACTGGCTTCTTTAGTTACCACATTTTCAAGGTTCGTTCATGTTGTAGCATGCATTAATACCTCATAACCTTTTTATAGCCAAAGAATATTCCATTATATGGATATACCATATTTTGTTTATCCATTCATTAGGTTGTTATAACTTTTAGGCAGTTGTGAATAGTGCTGCTATAAACATACAAGTTTTGTGTAGACACTTGTTTTCATTTGTCTTGGGTATATATATGTATGAGTGGAATTGCTGGGTCATGGGTAAACTCCATGTTTACCCATCTGTGGAACTGTCAGACTATTTTCCAAGGTGGCTACACCATTTTACCTTCCCAACAGCAGTGTATGGGAATTTTGCATTTCTCTATATCCCAATCAACACTTATTATCTCACTTTTTGATTCTAGTCATGTTAATGGATATGAAGTATTATCTCATTGTGGTTTCAATTGGCATTTCACTGATAACCAATGATGTCAATCTTCTTTTCATGTTATTTACTTTTTAATTTCAGTGAGCTATTTGAAGGAAAGAATGAGGTAAAAATATGCCTCAGTCTACCATCTTGATTCAGAAAGTCTTTTCATTTATATTTAAAATGAGAAAAATAAAGTGATTCCCTCCCCCCACCTTTGTTTTAGGCAACACAACAAGCAGTTACTCAGAACTGTGAAGCTCTTGGAACCCGGATAGGTAAAGAAAATGACCTGGCCCTCATCATTGATGGTGAAACACTGAAGTATGCCCTCCATTCTGAAATTAAGAGGAGCTTTCTCAATTTGGCCCTCTCATGTAGAGCAGTATTATGCTGTAGGTAAGGCTATATTCACTGTTCTTTTTCCCTCCCTGCTATCTTTAACACTGTTTATATAAAGAAAATGTGGACATGGAAATACAAGTTTTTGTAGAAGCAAAGTTACTTATTAGTAAAATATATGCTGAAATTGAAGAGAGTTATCTGAATTTAATTTTGTCAGGCTTAAGATGTTACTAGAAGGCAGATTCTAATTTTTCAGTGATAAATTGTTTAGTGATGTATTGACCAGATGAAAGACGTCTTTAGTAAGAACAAAAGCCCTCTATTTATAGTGAGGGGCAAATCTGAAAAAAATCCACCGATGTCTAGAGGAAAATGAAATTATCAGTATTAGTACAAGTTAAAACATCAATTTAAAAAGGCAAAACATGTACAACAAAGATGGCTGGAACTAAGAAAATAACGAAACTAGGTACAGAATAGTTGTTTCTTGCTCCTGAATGAAAATATTAAATGGACCAATTATTAAAACATCTTGATGCTTTGAACTTCTAAGTATTAATATAGATTTGCTCCTCAATCAATTGAGTTCCTTATATGCTTCAAATGTTTCCCTTAGACGTCCTCCTGCGTTCACATTCATTCAGCATCTGCTACAAAAATTCAGCACCTTCTGTTCTTCACTCCACCCTCACTTGTCATGACTGTAGTTTAGCCTTTAGGAGTCTTTGTGATTTAGTCTTCCATCAGTAGAACTGAAAAAAAATAATGGAAAACTGAATTCAAGTCCAGCTTGGGCAAAAACGGAATTTATTGGCTCGCATAACTGAAAATTCTATAGGTAAAGCTGACTTCAAGGGAAGCAAGAAAATTCATCAATAGTCAATTCACCAAATTTTTTGTTTAACTATTTAGATTTAATTGCCCAGTTTTCACTTTGCATCATACCAATATTTTAAGGAATGCTCACTTTTTCTTACTCAAACTTCCTACTCATGCTGGAGGAAGCAATGAGAGGACCTACTAAAGAAACAGAGAGAAGGAGAGAACATTTTGCCACCAAGGATGGATATTCCAGCAGTTGGCTTGCAATGAACTATTAGTGGTTTGTCCTAAATCTGGCTTTACTTGTGGTTTGGTGTAGAGTTCAAATGGTGTCTCCCTTTTGATTCACCTGGTGCAGGCTTTATCCCCAGGCCAGATACCCTTTTGGCAGCAAGTTGGGGGTTGAGGGACCCAAGCTTCACAGCCTCATATGATTGCATGCAGAAGAAGATTCACATATGCTTTTTCCCAGAAATCTCAGCAAATGGGACATCATGTTTGGCTCTGAAAGATACTTGCTTTCAGGAGCCCAAGATGAAAACAAAGGGATTATATACATGCTGGTAACAGTGGAAAGAGCCGATATACCCCTAGGTCCAAAGGGATCGGAGGAGGGAAGTAGTCACTGTAGCTGCAAAGAGAGAGCCCTGCAGAGGGGACTGCTTCTAGAGGAGCCTTGAGTGGTGGTCGATAGACATAGCCCCCTGGAGAAGACATGGCAGGGAGGAGCAGGGAAATGTCCAACTTGACCTCACTCTCCTCCCTGTCCAGCTTCTGCAGGGGTCACTCATTGGCCAACCATGACAGCAACTCTCAATGATCCAGGTTTAAGTGGTTCATTGCCTTAATTTCTCCACTTAGTCACTTCGTCCCTTTAAGTGTGAACAGTAAACATAAATGAATACAAAACTGAAGTCTGTTGACTGAGCTATATCCTGAACTGAGGAAAGCAATTTGGTATGGAACTGGCTGAAACTGTAACTTACAAAGGGAGTGGTGGTAGGGGAGGAGAGTAGAGTCTGTCTCTAACATTCTTCATGGCTTCAAAATTTTATGAATTTTATTTTTATTTCTTTTTTTTTTAGATTTTATTTATTTGAGAGACAGAGAAAGAGAGAGAGAAAGGGCAAGCACAAGCCGGGGGATGGGCAGAGGGAGAGGGAGAAGCAGACTCCCTGCTCAGCAGGGAGTCTGACGCCAGGCTCAATCCCAGGATCCCATAGATTGTGATATCTCAATCTCAATCTCACACATTTGGGTCTTTCCTATATCCCTTTCTCTTACTGATTTCTAAGTTAAAGCTATTTTCAAATAAAATACTAGGTTCATTTTTTTTTCCCACTTGGTACTTTGTCATTCTGTTGTCTTCTGGCTTCCTTGTTTCTGATGAGAAGTTTGCACTGTTGTTACCCATTATGTGATGAATCATTTTCCTCTTCCTTCTTTCCAGATACTTTCTTTGTTACTTGGTTTCAGTTGTTTGGCAATGCTGGCTCTATACGTGGTTCCTATTATATTTGTTCTCCTTTGGATTCAGGGGATCCCTAAATTAATGTTTTGTTTTGTTTTTACTAGATTGGAAAATTTCAATCATTATTTTTTCAAGGTGTTTTTTTTTCTTTCTACTTTTGATTTCCTTTACTTTTGGGACTCTGATCATATACATGAGTGAATGATTGATGTTGACTTGTGGCACTGCCACTGCATTTTTCTTTAATTTCCCCTCTTTTCTTTTTGTATTGCATATTTTCTATTGATGTGACTTCAAATTCACTGATTCCTTCCACTATCTCAGATCTGATGTTAAGTTCATGAAGTATATTTTTCATTTCATCCCTAGAATTTCTATTTTTTAATATAGTTTCCATTCTTCTGCTGGGATATGCTGTTTGTTGACTCATAATTGTTACAATTTTCTTTGATTCTTCGGACGTATTTTATTTCAATTCTATGAACATATTTATAATGCTGCTTTGAAGTTTTTGTCTGCAGAGTTGAGTCTTCACCCAATTACTTGGACAAGTTTGTGCCTCAACAATTCAAACCCTAAGACTTCTACCTCTGCTGACAGGGCTATATGTGGTTGGAGCAATGCTTTCAGAAGTGTAACAGGTTGCAGCCTCTCTAGGCTGTTCCCTGCATATCCTTAATTTAGTGGTCCATCCAGAATATGTAGAAAGTTTATTATCTCAATGCTCCCATGATTCTTTTGTTGCAAAAATCTCCCTGTTAAATTTCTATGATTTTTTGCCCTCCCTGAACTAAGAGAGCCACCCCAGTTGATAAAGATGTGGGTGATCATTATCTGCTCCAAACCATATCCACCATGTCCAGATAGTAAATCTGCAGATTCTTGCCCCACTCCCAGGTCAGGGGAATACAAACACCTCCAGGAAAGGAGGTCACAAACTTGCTGCACTTACCTGATACAGTAACATCTTTTCATGAATAAACATGTCTCAAGTTCTTTTCCACCTTGGGTCATTTTTCTGGTAAGATGAAATACTTGCTTTTAATCATTTTTTCCAGTTCTACACTTGTTTTCTTATTGAAGGAAATTGTCCAGTGTCCTTATATGCCATTAACAGGTATAGAAAGTTTTCTTAAAAATTTAACCAACGATTTGCTTACTGAATGTCACTTAGAAATAAAAAGTTTAGATAGTTGGAGGGTGTCATACAGTATTTGTTATAATTGCTTAATCAGTGGCACTCAGGTGAACATAATTAAAAGAGAAAAATTCATTTTTAAAAGTCAATTTATGAAGCTGTAGACTTATTTTCCCCACAATTCTTATCACTATATGCCATAATTTTTGTTTTACTTACTTGGTTTATTGTCTGTCTCCTCTCCACTGCAATGTAAACTTCGTGAAGGCAGGGATATTTATATATTTTATTTCCTGCTCTATCTTCTCTATTAAGGATTGTGCCTAGCTCACAGTAGGGACATAAATATTTGTTGAATAAATAATAATTACTGAATATGAGGTTACCTTTAAGTAGCTTACTCAGCAAATTGCAAGCACAAATATAGCAAAAACACTTGTTTATATATCTAAGAAAACATCTGTGCCGTACAATATGTTGAACCTATTTTACAATTTTTAAAAGGCTTTTATTTAAATTCTAGTTAGTTAACATATAGTGTAATACAGTTTCAGATGTACAATACAGTGATTCAACCCTCCCATACATCACCGGTGCTCATCACCTGTGCACTCCTTAATCTTCATCACCTATTTAACCCAAATTTTAAGTGGAAACCATTTTATTTTTTATTCCTCACACTGATTATATTGATAAAGAAGTCAATAGTATGTGCCCATGGAAAAACCATGACAGTATTCCAGCCAATTGGTTTATTTATCTCTGTATATTTTTAATCCATGAAAATAGATGATAAAAGTACTGCAATTTTTGAATTACTCAAATAAGACTCGAGTATTTTATAGGTTGGAATCTATTATGTGTTCTTTATAAATTATTGTTGAATTTGTTATTTGGTTCCATGTTATAGATTAAAAATCAAAATGAGAGTTGACATGTAAAATACTATTTTTGGAAAGTAAAGATGTCCATTCGGATGAGAAGAGTAGAAATGAACTGTTTAATGTCTGTTTTGAATTCCTAAAACTATTTTTTAGGGCTGTGTTTTCTTATCACTTTTGTGCTCTGAAACAGCATATTGACTTTTTTCCTATCCTGAGTAGATTTTTCCCCTTTCAATTTTTGTGACTAGATGGCTATGGGACTTCTATGTTGTTTCAGTCAATAGAATGACAAGATGAACTTGGCCAGACATGAATGTAAATACCATCAATTGACTATAACCCTAAAATTTCAGGATTAGGGAAATTTGGCTTAATGCCCATACATGGACACATGACCTAAAGTGTTTTATTAATTGGAGCTCAATTAACAGATGGTTGTTAAAAGACTAATATTATTTTAGGATTTATTTTCATATATGGTTGGGGAGGACCCAAAATCAGAATAGTGATGATCCACTTCTATTCTTAACTGGTCAGAACTGACTTGGAGCTTTGGTGAAAGGCCTAGAACCACATTACCAAAGGACTGAAGGACTCAATGATGTTTAGCAAGGGGAGAAGAAGGTTTAGTGGGTCCCTGACAGTTCTTTTCTTATATTTTGGAGAGCTTGGTCAGCCCAGAGGATAGAATTAAGATTTGAAAGTTTAAAGAGTGAAATTTGGGATTAATATGAGGTAGTTTTTCTTTTTTCCACAAATATCGTAGTCTGACTATAAAAGTAGTTGCCAGACTAAATGGTGAAATTATTATCATTGTCGGCATTCCAGCAAAACAACCAGCATCTCTTGATGGAAACGAAACATACAAATGGTTTCTGGAACATCCTCTACTTCAGTAACTTTTCATACTGTGACGACAAAGTAATGTTAACTCATTATATTTTCTTCATTATGAAGCAAAAGTTTTTCCATCTGTGCTTCTGTCTTAAAATTTGGAGTGTGAGCTAGTCAAGGAAGCCTATCTCCTCAGTTTTTAATAATCTCACCTAAAATTTGAAAGGTTTAAATTTAAATTAGTTTTTAGGAGCTGTTTTGTGGGAAGGGGGATGATCATTCAATTACTAGAAAATAAAACCTTTGTGTGTCTCTTATTTTTTGGATAGAGGTGTGTATCCAATTCATTTAGTGGATGAATAGATAAGTGATGAATAAGAGATAAAAATTTTTGCTTCTCTTTCCTTGATATATCTGTAAGTATTTTGTGTAGACAGGGTCTGCTAGCCTGAAATATTTTAGGAATACTAAATTTGCTTTTGTAAGCTTATCTGAGGGGGGAAAAAGGATCAACAGTATTCTCATTTATTGGACACATACAATGGAAAGAAACAAACATTTCTTATGTTAGGTTACTTTGCTTTTGTCTGTTGTTACCACAGACTCGCCTGACACCTTCCTGTTTTTACAACTCCTTGTATTTTTCAAGTTCACTTGAAGGTTCTTTGATTTTCATAGGCTAGTCTACAGGCTATCCTTTGGGTAAATGCCTTCATATAGTTTCAGAAATCTTCACTTCTTGCTCTCCTTTAGGTAGATGATATAAATTAATAGAGCAGGCCGGTGTTAGGCAACAGGGAGTGAAGGGGAGAAAGGCAAATTGAAGAGTTTATCTCCATGTAAACTGGGCAACTGATATTGTGTATTTCTTTTGGATGTTAAAGAAGTTACTGTGTGGTTTCTTTGCTTTTCTTTTTATTTTGGGTAAGGGTGGGAGGGAACTTTTTAAAAAAATTGAGTGTAGTTGACAATGTTACATTAGTTTCAGGAGTAGGACACAGTGATTGGACATCTCTATATGTTATGCGATGCTCACCACGAGTGGAGCTCCCGTCTGTCAGCAGACAACACTATTACAGTTCCACTGACTATATTCCCTGTGCTGCACCTTTTATCCCCACGACTCACTCATTCCACAACTGAAAGCCTGTATCTCTAAGTCCTCCTCACCCATTTTGCGCATCCCTCCATCCCCTCCCCCTCCAGCAGCCATCAGTTTGTTCTTTGTATTTATAATTCTGATTCTGCTTTTTGTTTGTTCATTTGTTTTTTTAGATTGGTGGGTGGAACATATTTATATATGTAAAAAGCTTAATTAATGAATTGGGAAATTTACCAGTAACTGATATTTAAAGGTGGTTATGTGTAGGTCATTGTTGACTCCTTGTTAAAGGCTTTGTGAACAAAAACAAAACAGTAAAAAAGTGGTGGGTTTCTGTCTTCTTTTTCAGGTTATCTCCCCTCCAGAAGGCAGAAATAGTGAACTTGGTTAAGAAGCATGTAGGGGCCATCACTCTTGCCATTGGGGATGGTGCTAATGATGTTGGGATGATCCAGATGGCCCACGTGGGTGTGGGAATCAGTGGGAATGAGGGCGTGCTGGCCACCAACAACTCAGATTATTCCATTGCACAGGTCAGTAGTGTGGGCATGAGATTATTGGAATATCTTGAGTCTATCCCCGAGGCCTACCCTGCTCTTTAAGCTGCTTTTCATATGAAACTACCAACACATTTGAGGTTTTCTTTCGTTTTGTCCTTACGCACTTTGCAGCAAAAAAAGTTTTCCTTGAGCAGTTATGGAGTTGGTCATACTGATGCCACCAAGAATCTATAGCTCTGCTAATACAATCTCTAAAGCCCCAGTCTCTTCAATCTGTAATGTGTGCTTTGCTTTGTGGTGTCTCTCAATGGAGATTTCTTAAAGACTTATAATCTCCCCATTTCTGCTTTTTTAAAAAAAGTAGGCGTTGCCTCTTGGCAGGCATTTAAAAAAAATAGACTGTATTTTAGAGCAATTATAGCTTCACAACAAAATTGAGAAAATATAGAGTTGCCATATATTCCCTGCCTTCCTCCACAAACTCCCCCATCATCAACATCCCCCACTAGAGCAGTATATTTGTTATAACTGATGAACCTACATTGACACATCATTATCATCACCCAAAGTCCACAGTTTACGTTAGGGCTCACTCTTGGTGTTGTATATTCTATGGGTTTGGAGAAATGTATATTGACAAGTATCCACCATCACAGTATCATACACAGTAATTTTACTGCCTTAAAAATCCTCTGCACTCTGCCTATTCATCATTCTCTTCATGCATGAACCCTTGGCAACCACTGATTTTTGTACTATCTCCATGGTTTTGTCTTTTCCAGAATGTCATATTCATACAGTATGGCTTCTTTCACTTAGTAATATGCATTGAAGTGTCCTCCACGTCTTTTATGGCTTGATAGCTCATTTCTATTTAGTGATGAGTAATATTCCACTTTCTGGACGTACTTTATCCATTCAGCTACTGAAAAATATCTTGATTATTTCCAAGTTTGGGCAATTATTAATAAAGCTGTTATAAATATCCATGTGCAGGTTTTTTTGTGTGGACATGAGTTTTCAACTTTGGATTTATACCACAGAATGTAATTGCTAGATCATATAGTAAAAGTATAAAAGTATGTCTAGTTTTGTAAGAAACTGCCAAACTGCCTTCCACAGTAGCTGTACCATTTATTGGAAGGCATTTAAGTAGTGTGTGTGGTCTGTGATTTACAGCCTCTGTATATTTATGTAATAGCCTAGGCTGTTTAACAAGAATAACCCCTCCTTCTACATATTAATATTTTGACTTTTGAAGAATATTTTAATCAATAATTTAAGATTAGCTTTTAGTGGATCTAGTATTTTATCACAGTTGAGCAATTAACAATAACACTTTTCAATTTTGCTGAATTCAGGAGCCACCTGTAATTCTTGAACATTCCTTAGGAATAATCCCATACTCTGAGTAGGTCTTCCCTGCTGGGGCTATTCTTATGGTGGCTTTCCCTGAGGGGCTGGATGATTTAGTACCCTGTCCACAGGTAAACAGATGCCTGAAACTGGAGTGGTAACAAAATGGATTCCTAGGATTTTACAGCATAGATGAAGAGCATATTACCCCAGTGTTTGAATCAGATCTATTCTGAGACCCTTCTTCTTACTTACAGATTAAGTGTTCTGGTTTTATAGCAGGGAAAACTAAGGCTTCTCTGTGCTAGAGTATTTGTGTTGGGGGGGAGAGTGTCAGTAAACCATGATCAGAGCACCTGTGTCTGTAAATAAGCAAATGGCCACACCAAATTCACCTAATCGTGTCCTAAACTGCTACATGCTATTAGGTTACATACTTCAGTGATCTCAGCAATTATATGTGACATAAGCCTTGAACTACTAAACACTGTAGACACACCAAGCTGGCCAGTATCAGGAGTCCTGGGGATCCAGGGAAACATTTCTGGCTTTTTTGTTTGTTTTTTTAGATTCCACATTATAAGTGAAATCAAATGGTATTAATCTTTTTCTCTTGGACTTATTTTACTGAGCACAGTATCTACTAGGTCCATTCATGTTGTCGCAAAAGGCAAGATTTCATTCTTTTTTATGGCTAATATTCCATTACACACACACACACACACACACACACACACACACCCACACACACACAATCTTCTTTATCCATTCACCTATTGATGGACACCGAGGTTGCTTCCATATCTTGGCTATTGTCAGTAATGCTTCAGTAAACATAAAGGTGCAATAATACCTTTTCAAGTTAGTGTTTTTGTTTTCTTTGGGTAAATACACAGTAGTGGAATTACAAGATTATTTGGTATTTTTAATATTTCAAGGAACCTGAATACTGTTTTCCTCAGTGGCTGCACCAGTTTGTATTCCCACCAAAGTGCACGAGGGTTCCTTTTTCCCCACAGCCTCACCAACACCTGGTATTTCTTGTCTTTTTGATTCTAGCCATTCTGACAGGTGTGAGGTGATATTTCATTTTGGTTTTGATTAGCATTTCCCTGCAAATTAGGTGATGTTTGGTGCAAATTAGGTGATTGGTGATGTTGAGAATATTTTCATGTGTTTGTTTGCCATCTGTGTATCTTCTTTGGAGAAATATCTGTTCATGTCCTCTCCCCATTTTTTAAAGTTTTTATATGAATTCCAGTTAGTTAACATACAGTGTAATATTAGTCTCAGGTGTACAACATAGTGATTCAACACTTCCATACAATACACAATGTTCATCACAAGTGCACTCCCTAATCCCCATCACCTATTAAACCCACCTCCCCCAAACCTCTGCCTTTTTAAATTGGGTTATTTACAGTTTTGGGGTGCTCAGTTGAATAGCTTCATTATATATTTTTAATATTATCCCTTATCAAATATATAATTTTCTTTTTTTTAAAGATTTTGTTTATTTATTTGATAGAGAGAGACACAGTGAGAGAAGGAACACAAGCAGGGGGAGTGGGAGAGGGAGACGCTGCTCAGCAAGGAGCCCGATGCGGGACTCAATCCCAGGACCCTGAGATCATGACGTGAGCTGAAGGCAGACACCCAACGACTGAGCCACCCAGTTGCCCCATCAAATATATAATTTTCAAATGTCTTCTCCCACTCAGTTGGTTGCCTTTTCATTTTGTTGATGGTTTCCTTAGCTGTGTAAAAGATTTTTGTTTTGATGTAGTCCCCATAATTTATTTTTACTTTTGTTTTCCTTGCCTAAGGACATATATATATATAGAAAAGTGTTGCTAAAGGTCAATGTCCAGGAGATTGCTGCCTTTTTTTTTCTTTTTTCAAGTTTTTATTTAAATACAATTAGTTAACATACAGTGTAATATTAGTTTCAGGTGTAGAATTTAGTGATTCATCACCTACAACACCCAGTGCTCATCACAAGTGCCCTGGAATTCAGGTCTCACATTTAGGTCATTAATTCATTTTGAGTTTACTTTTCTGTATTATATAAGAAAGTAGTCCAGTTTCATTCTTTTGCAAGTGGCTTTCCAATTTTCCCAACATCTTTTTTGAAGAGACTTTTTCCCCATTGTATATTCTTGCCTCCTTTGCTGTAAATTAATTGGCCATGTAAGTGTGGGATATTTCTCAGCTCTCTATTCCTTTTTTTTATTATTATTAACATACAATGTATTATTTGTTTCAGGGGTACAGGTCTGTGATTCATCAGTTTTTTTTTTTAATTATGTTATGTTAATCACCATACATTACATCATTAGTTTTTGATGCAGTGTTCCATGATTCATTGCGTACAACACCCAGTGCTCCATGCAGTACGTACCCTCCTTAATACCCATCACCAGGCTA